CTCACCTCCATGCTTTGTTCCTTGCAGTTTAAACTCCAGGATAGGATGCCCATAATCTTATGAGAGTGATGAGCATCTCCATTGGAATGAACCCTAAAACCTTTATGGCCAGTAAGTAAACCTTAGAAGACCCATTCCAAACTTTTAAAGAGGAAGGAATAAGACCTGCATGAAACCTGGGGAACTACCAATGATCAGTGATTAGAAGTAAGGTTAGGACAAAGCTTGGTGTCCTCAGCTCCTCTGGCATGAACAGGTTTCCTCTGATACTTAGCCCAGTCCTAGAAGGCGAGCCAAGCTGAGAGGAAGTCCATGCTTCTGGGGCAAAGGGTGTACAGCCAGCAGACAACTTCTGAGTCACACAAAGGCTGCCACATATGGAGTGGAAGAGGGACCCTGCCTGCACAGCAGTGCCATGGGCTCTGTTTCCGGTGACCCCCACTTGAACGAGCTTCATCCATGCACACGCAGCAGCACAAGCGAAGCCTGCCATGTGTGACTCACAAGAAGGATGCTGCTGCTACAGGGTGTGGGGGACACTGGTGAGCCCCACGTGAAGACTGGACATGCTTGCCAGGAACTCAGACGCAGGGACTCAACAAAGCAGGCCAGAGTCCAGGGAGCCAAGCCCAGGGAATCTGACAGATCCCCAGCTCCAAAAATAAATCCTTCAGGCACCCCAGTTAGGAGTAAGGAGGCGGGGCCAGAGGAAAGGTATGTGGTCATCTGGGAAGTTCTGGAGGGATGGATTCAGACCCCAAGGTTTACTTTTCAGGCCTGCTGTGCTGATCTAAGCCACACTTTCTGTGCTCTGATTAAGCATGATGGGGAGTCACATCTTTATTTGAAGCCACAAATCCAGGACCTCCAGGAATGGATTTGGCCCCAGAAATAGCCACGGCTTATGTGTGGGGAAGGTGCTTGAAAATCTGAGTGACCTCTTCGAAGCCACACACTCTGACCCCATGAAGAGCTTTCTTCCCACTCAACGCAGATCACGTCCAACATGCAGGCATGGCATTCCCTGATCTTGCCCAGCCGCAAATTATTCAAGGGAGTGTACCTTTCATCCTTGACAAACAAAAACAATGAAAAATGCAGTTTGGGCAACAATCTTTTTCTTCATGTGAAACAAAGAGACTTTATCTACTGTTGCAGAGTTTATAATAACAACGGAATAGGAACAGCAGGGTGGCAGTGTGTCAAAACAACTCAAAAACTGGTCTGTCAGCAGCTGAGAGGCATTGCATTTAAAAGGCAGGACTTCTATTGTCTTATTTAAAAAATAGACACCTAGTCTAACTAAAAGGCATATTAACACTGCAATCCCATTAATGTTTACTTTGAAGAAAATGCTACTGTGTTCACTGGGACTTAGTCCCAAGAAAGTGGGTCTAGAATTTCAGCCTGTCTTTTTCAAGTACATGGAGCTAATATGTGAGATCCGTGAGTAAAGAGTTGAGTTTACTGAATTTGTTTGCTTGCATGTAATGATTTGGTTGTCCCTGTAGTGACTTGATGGCTGCTTCCTCTTCCTCTTCCTCTTCTTCTTCTGATAGGAAGTTATCACCTCACACCGATAGCTCCATGCCATCCTGGTGTGGCTAAAGTGGTTGAGGTTGTCACTCTCCCACTCCTTCCAAGCAGACACAGAGAATGGCTCAGACTGGCGCAAAAGTGCAACAAAGCATAATGCAGAAGTCAGCAACAGAAGAAACAAGCTTATTGGCCTATTAGCCATTAAGGAAGTGTGTCCTATTACTGAGAAGCTGATTCCGAATCAAACGCTGCTGCTCCGTTTCAGACTCAAGATACCATGTCTGGCCTCTGAGGCAAAGACAAATCATCTTGCCCAAGGGCAAGTCTAGTGGAGCACCTGCCTCTTTTCACCTGGGCTGCTCTCTTCAGCTGAAGCCACAATCTGGGATCAGTGATGGCAGCTCCTCTCTCCTTCCCATTAAGAGGCTTCATTTGTAGTGTTGGTCCTCATGAGCATGGGCAGAGGGCTTGACTGGGCTCTACTTCAGGCAGCAAGAACTCTTGGCTGGGCCTTGTGTGGAACTTGCAGGAAAATCTTAGGCATATTGGTGGCTGTGAATGGCAGGACTGGGGTTTGCTTTCCTCAAAGACAAGCAACCAGTTGATTATTGAAACTTCCTTCATACTTGTCAACAAGATAGCATCTTTCGCCAGTCCTAAGGGAAACTGTCTAGCCTTGGAGTGGAGGGCAGGTTTTTTGGCACCCATGGCTCTGTCCTCCAAAGTTTCACTCCTGTCCTGTTTCCCTTCTCCCTGGTCCCCAGCCTCTGCAGCCAAAGAGGCTCCTTCCTTCGGCTTACTGGTAGGCAGTGCTTTTTTGGTAATAAAAAGGTGCCGGAATTCATGAAATCATTTACCTTTCGCACGTAGTCAATCACTGTACACACACCCACACACGTCAGTTGTAATGAAACATAACGGTCACCACCCGCAGAAAGCACTCAGCATGTGATCACACGACCAGTCACAAGCCGAGCAGTGCCACAAGCTGAGCAGCACCATCACAACCTGTGCAGATGAAGTACGCATGCATCGGACTTGACACACAAGCACTGTTTTAACGATTTTGCCACCGACCTTCTACACTTGACAGGGTGATTCAAATCCATGTGGACCAAACATCAAATTTTCAACAGTTACTTTTAAAACTTGGAAAATCTGTCAAAAAAGGGTGCCAGAACTCCTTTCCAGTGTGTTCTATGACAAAAAAAGCACTGCTGGTAGGGTTTACCCTGTGAATATGAAAGCTCTTCCAGCACTTTTCCCCACAAAGCAATTGGATCCCATCTGTTAGCAGGAGTTGAAGAAAGAGAGCATCAGAACTCCCTTGATCCACTGTTTCCATCCACTGTTAACTGCTTTAAGAGAGATTTGATTGAGGAGGATTGTCCTATTTTTCTTCACTGGAAGTCCCATGGACTGTAACACAAAAGGGATTAGTTCCCTGTGAACAATTACAGAAGAGTCTCTGACATTCAAGGAATGGATCTTCTCCATGCTGGGAAACAGTCTTTGCCCACAGCAATGCCTGAAGAGGGGATCTGCACTAAGCCCAGATCTTGCTTACTGCTTTTTCAGTCAGGTCCTCTTGTTGTTTGAAATTCTTCTCTGACTTCCAAGAGCTGCTCAGTCCATCCTGCGGGGCTGGGATTAAGTAAGAGAGGTTGGACAGTCCCTCTTTCTCACAAGGAAGCAGTCTTCAGCCAGTGTAGGCCAAAACAGACTGTAACGTAACCCTCCATTCTGGTATTTCCCATGCTTCACCAATAAGTATGGCTTTTTCCAGTCTTTTCCAAGCTCCTTCCTCTTTTGCTCCCCTGTCTGGAGGGCCATCTCTGGCATCCTCCTGCCTCCTTTCTCCTGGGCATCTTCTCTCCTCTCCTCCCCTTTCCCTTCTTTGCTCCTTTTCTTCCTTTATTCACCTCACTTTCCTTCTCTCTCCTTTGCCCCCAGCCTACTGCAGGTGATGCTCCTTTTGGAGCAAGCAACAAGCAAGGCGCCCTTGCGGACGCCATCAGCTCAGGCTGTTGCCGCCTGCCGCTGCTCTGCCATTGTCATCCACGGTGGCCTGGGAGCCCAGCCGTGTGCAGGAAACACCCCGACAGCCAGAGTGATTTTTGGGTGCTCAGAAGGAGGCAGTGAGCCCTGCCAATCCTTCACAACGTCAAAGGAGCGATGGCCTTTTCGCCATTCTCCCAATCCCCTGGAAAAATTATGCAGCTAACTGTGCAGTGATCAGTCAGTTTCTTTCCAGTGTCCCTTTTTCCCTTTTATCTGTGCTTTGGCACAACCAGTGTGCTATAAAATCTCCTGAATGATAACGAAGAAATGGGCAGACCATTGAAGAGAACTATCCATTCCCAATAAATTTCACTTAATTAATATTAATCTTTCCCAAGAGGAGGACAACTTTTAACTCTTGCAAATTAAAGGTGGAGAATGAAAGGCTTGAATTATAAGAACCTGGTAAGACTGGTGGTAATTTGTTCATCATGAACTTCTTAAAAAAAATTATATCAAAATCCATATGAATTTTTGTTCACATTCTCCCTAAAACAAATTAGGGAGGTCTGTGCCAAATATAATTTTTACAAGCAAATTTCCAAATATAATGCATTGATATTATGATGCATTTTTGGTACAAACCATTATTTTATTTTACTCATCGTATCTATTTCTTTTACTTTTAAATAGAAGTTTTCACTGTTCAGTCTTTTACATGATTTTCCCAGTTAGTTAAGAATGGGGTGTCTTTTCCAAATATAATGAATGTTGAAATGTTATGCAGTATATGCAGAGTCCAGGCAGTGCCTCAATATTCTCTCCTCATTCCCTGAAGTGCCACACTTAGAGGGCTGAAACTAAGTATTTGGCATGGTGAGAAGAACGCAGAGGCAACCTTGGCCTCTGGGCTCCTCCTCCCATGCCTAGGACACCCCTAATCCTCTGAGTTCAGACTGCACCCTTAGTTTCTGTTTGCATGATAGTTTGTAAGTGTAAAATTGGGTGTGCATTGATTAACGTGGAATCTGCACAATGTTCTCCCCCATCCTAGTTCCAGCCTCTAGCTTTGCACTTGCATGGAGATGTGGGGTAGGGATTGAAGCATGCAAAAAAGAAAAAGAAAAAAAAGTTAGGGCATAAGTATTGCTTTCTATTCTAGCCCCCATTCCAATGTCAACATCCAGAAGCTAAAAGCAGAGTGAGGACGGGAACAAATAAAAGCATTTCTGTTTTCACTCTGGCATGTTCTGGACAGGAAGAACTCTGATGGGAAATAGCAGCAGAGCAATGGAGAGGACTGACAGTGGAGAGGATGAATGCCAGAGCTTAGAGGTGGGGCAAAGTCTTTTACCCTGTTGCGGTGAGATATTGTGGCTCAGTTCTAGTTCTGCCGTGTGAAAAACTAGGTCTACCTTATTCCTCTCATTGAGATGCTTTTATCTGCATCCTCTGCTTACCTGATGATGGACTGAGTTTAAACTGCAAGGAACGGATGTTCAGAGTAGCCAGGATAGATTTCGTATCTACCAGGGTTTGATCACCAGTACCTCGGGCATGGGCTGAGATGATGACACACATAGCACAGTATTTGATGTTGGCTGCCTTCAGGTCTGCACAGGAAAGAGCACTGCCCTGGCAAGAGAAAGTGTGGGGAAGTAAAGGTACCCAGAGCACTGAAAGAGTCAGGCGTCAGTTAAATCATGCAAGCGGAAAAATGAGACTTGTTCCAAGGATTGTTGAATCCCATAATAGTCCATAAATTGGGATACCGACCAAGATACCTGTCATCCTTTATATTGTGTTTGAAATATGAAAAAAGTGATACTTCAGTATTTGGGGCAGATCTCAGATTAATGAGAGGCTGATGACCCAAAGGTTACCAGAAGCCACCAGAACATCCCCCACCCCACCCAAAATGGAGAGAACTCTTCCACAGGATTGGGAGTCAAATAATGGAAAGAGTTCCGTTCTGTGTGGGGTGTGTTCAAATGAGGGCTGAAGGATCCTTGAGGTTTGTCTTGGAGCTTCATGAAACAGCTTCTGGAGGAAAACTCAAGTTCCAAGGAGGAACCCAGGGGTACATAATGGCTGGGAACAGAACCACCCTGGATTTCTCTTATTTCTTCTGACATGAGAAACAAGCACATAGAATGACAAATTTAATAAGAGCAGTAAAATTAATAATAGCAAGGAACTGGAAAGTAAAAGGTGACTATCAAATAAATGATTGGCATAAAGAAACCTGGAATATAGCTATTAATGATATGCTAACTTGACATGTTAAGTTGAAAAAAGCTTGATAAATGACAATCATTTTGAAGATATTTGGAGACCATTTATTGAATATAAAGGGAAAAAGAGGTGTGAGCCATCACAAGATTCAATGTAGTTCTGGAAGGGGGGTGGGGTTGATCAGCCTGAATGAATAAATGATTTTACACTAAGTAACATGTATCTGTTGGTCCTGGTGGAAGGTAACACTGTTATTATTGTATTGATTAGTCTTGATCATCATTATTAATTTTATTACTTGTTTTATATTTATTTATATTGTAAGCCATTCTGAGATCTTATAATAGGACAGCATACAAAAGCTTTTAATAAATAAATAAACTATGAGTTAGTTTTTAAAATAAATAAATTAAAATTATTTAATTGCCCAGTTTAATCCTGTAATAGTGGCATTTTGGTAGTGACAAGCACTGGGTGATGTTCCTATGTAAGCTCTCCATCAAATCACTCTCACACACATGTGTGTGCAAGCACTCTCAGCCCAATTGGAAAGAGACCCATGGCCTCAGGCTGGAAGGATGTGTTCCCTGGATTCAAAGCCAAGTGGCTACCATAACATAAACAGAATCCAGAGGAGCTATGAGCTGTTCTATGATCCCATAAAATTTATGTCCCTTTGACTGAGCCATGAAGACAATGGAGGCGCTCCCATGATGGATATCTTGGGTGTGCCTTACATTTGGCAAATGTTAGCTTCCAAAAGTACCTGACATCACCTTATTAACTTACGCTCTGAGGTCGTAACTCTTCTTCATGATCAATTCAACTCAATATCCTTCTATTACCTGTGGAAATACCAGATGCCCTCAAAGAAAAGGAAAATAAAGCATGTTTCTGGGAAGAAAACTTCCTTTACCTCAGTGGATCAAGGTAATGTGACACGATATTAGTGATAGGAGCTAACCTCTTTGGAAAGTGTTGAATACTGAACGTCAGGTGTCCTTATAATTACTTCACAAAAGTATTGAATTCATGTTTCTATGCTTCTAAATTAAATAATTATATTGGGAAGAACATTGGGGAGATGTATAAAGAACATGTATACCTTTAGTAAGGCTAGTTTTGGGAAATTCTGAATAAATTCCCATTCTCGCTGGAGATATTCAAGAGATCCCAGGAAGACAATGTACTTCAGTTCACTGAATGTGAAGTTGCTGGCTCTCAGAGGCATTACAAAGTTGCGTAGTCCAATCAATGTCGAGGTAGCATCTCCAAAAACACAGACCACAATGTGATCACGCAGACTGCTGAGGAGCTTCTTGTTGTGCCTCTAAACAAGATAGAAAAGAATTCTGTCTAGAACTAGATATTATTACTTTTTTCAAGGAAAATAAAATCAGGAAATGTGAACTGCTCTTAGGCTAAGAAGCACATACCTGATAGGAGAGCCTATCCTACATAAAATTGAGCAGTCCACCTTCATGGGCCTTGGACCCTGGTAAAATGTTCACAAGAGTGCTTGTGCATTACTGGTGGTGAGCATGTTTTGGTAGCCCCTTCAATGGAAACTGATGAATCTGTCAAGTTTGGTTTTTCTGGAATTCTTCAAGCTTCTTTACATGAGTCATTTATTATGTGCTCATTATCCCTCATTCACGAAAGTATTATCGGCTCTCTCACAACATGGTCACCCCAGGACTATTATGTTTTTATGACATGTTTGCAGTTTCTTCTGGAGTGAGAAAAGTCCGGCATTACATTTCAAACGTGGAACAAGCTGGAGTAGAAATTCCATGCATTGTCACAATTCTTTTATGCTACAGCTACATTATACCTTGTGGCTGGCTAATGGAATTACATAGAAAGACAGGGAAAGATAAATCCCAGAGGAATGTGGAAAGGACAGCTCCTTCGTCTTGAGAAGTGCATAAAGGAACATCAGTAGAACAACAGTTTGTTAAATACCTCTTGTAGATAAGTGCTTATTTCCCAATTGATTTCAGTTTGCCCTCAACTTTCAGAGTTTTCTTCAATAAATGCAGGAAAACTGGTATGAGCTTCTCTCCATGCATTCATTTTTCCTATGCAATTTTGCTTCATATACATTTTACAAGCATTTCCCCCAAATATAATGCATTTTAATATTGTTTGCACTAACATACTCCTTTTTACACATTTCTCCCAAAATACACACCTTTTGAGCATATTCTGAACACTGAACTGAGATTCATCAACCAAAAACAGTGTTCGATAGCATGCACATATTTGAAAAGTGTGCACTGCAAAATTCTCACAACCTTGTACAAATCAATGGAAGAAGAATGGAAATGTTTGAAAAATGCACACAATTGGTATATACATTTGGGGAAAAATATTCATGGAGAGACCAACAAATGTTCCGGTGGAAAGGAAACACATACACAGCCTGCAAACTGGTACACACAGAAGACAGTGCGAACTTAGAGATGGGAGCTGGGGGACTTTAATGCGCTTATGCTTTACTTGTAACACATCTCTAGTGTCCTTTCACATCTGCTGCAGAGGACACAGCTGCATACCCTCCAGAACCGGTTTGGTGCTCACAAACTGCCACTGCAGTGTGGTGGCAGGGAAAGAGAAAAACAAGAAATTAAAAAGAAAAGGTATAGTTTTCTCTTTAAAGCAAGGTATTCCGTGAGCACATGCAGTGTTTGAATGGCCAATTATACTCTTAGGGTCCTTGGGGAGCACAGTTTGCCTTGTTCACCTACATGGGGCACACTCACCATGCAGCACGTTTTAAAGAGGGAATTTGACTTTTGGCCAATGCCATTGTTACTCCACCAACATTCAATGGCAGTTTGGTGGCATGGCAGCAGATTGTCTGTGCATCCTCAAGGGGTGTCCAGGGAACAACAGCTGGTTCCATATTATGCCATCTCTCCTGAAGAGCAAGGATTTTGCTGAGGCTAAGTTTCATGGATTTGCAATGGAATGGAATGGAGCCCGCTGCCAACTCAGCAATAAGAGATCTTTCATAATGTGTGGATCAATTCTTAGAGGTCAACTAGAAATCAGCCCCACTTCATTTGCATCATGTCCTTTGGAATGCACAATGTACATTAAAAGCATCTACACATCTTGTAAAAGGAAGCTCTCTCCCTGCTTTGGGATCTGCAGTCCCCCTTCAGTTCTATATTTCTATATACCTGACAATGCCCTGTAGAGTCAGAGTACCCAGCATTCATTTTAAATGATTACCATTCATATGACAGAAGAAGGTGACAATTAATTAGGCATGACTGAGGAAATCTTTACATGATTGGTACATGGTATATGTCCACGTTCCCAATCAAGGGATGTCGAGCCAGGACATTCATAAAACTCTCTCTCTGGTTTTTCTTTGGAGAGAAATAAAAGATTCATGTCAGGGGAACTTTGCTGCTGAGTGATTAGAATCATAGCCAAATTAAATGATCATCTCTAACTAATTGGATTAGTCTAAATTGAATAATGGAACCTCAAGCTGTATTTAGTGGAACGTGCCTTAAATCCAATTATTAGTCTGTCAAGTGGTGCTAAACAATGGAAATGATCCATTCTATATCCTTTTAATAGGAACTGTTGGGAGATGGAGACTAGGATATGGGGGAAAAACTATTTTGTATATTGAAGGCCAGGAAGAATGCAAATATGAGTGTCATGGAATTGCTTTGAACTCACATGTACTGTCCTGTACTTGAGATAGTCCCAAAATTTCTCCTGAGAATTTTCAGTTCCCAATCAACAAGCTTTGTATTGTATTGCAACTTGTTGTTTTGTATTGCAACTAATGCATTTGAAATTCTCCACTGCCCTGCCCTGCCCTGCCCTGCCCTATTTACAACTATTCACAGTGTGCAACACATGCAGAATGAAGACTCCAGAGTTACTTTCAACGGAGGTTATTTGCCAGCAAAAGAGACACTGCTGCTGAAACAAATTCACCCTCCCCCACTACAACCTTCCTCACACACTGACACCCCCCACCCCCAGACCTCCTCTGAAAGCATGCAGGAGGGTTCAAAGGGAGGAAGGAAAGAAAAGGCCCCGTTGCACAAGTGAAGGTCTGCTCATATGCTATCGTATGGATTCTGAAAGCTCATAAGAAGTTCCTTGCTAGATGCCCAATTTAGCCCCTCATTCTGTCTCCTAAGATTCCCCTGGGAAGCCCACATGTGGATATGAAAGTTATCTCCATTTTTCTGCTGTTGTTGCTCTTTGATTGATATTCAGTGGTATGGTGCCTACAATCTAAGAGGTAGCATGTGACCATCATGACTAGTGGCTGTTGACAGCCTCATCCATCATCATTTTTTCTAATCCCATAAAAGGATCTTAAGAATAGATGAACAGGGCTGTATTCTTACCATGCCTCATGGTGGGGCACGAACACGTCTCAAATTTCCAATTCCTATGCCCTGTAAAGTTAACTAGAATTTGACAAAGCTTATGGCTCCTTCCTGACTTTCTCCTCTTTACATTAGTGATGAGCATTGAGGCCTATAGGTTGGCATTCACATTTGCATCAAAATGCTTCCTGCATGGAGTTTTCACCAATATGCAGGAGCCCTGTATCTGTATTGCTGAACCGCCCCACAGACAGGGTCTTGCTACATTGGTGATTCAGAAGAGGAAAAAGAATGGGAGATGCAAGGTGAGAGAGCTGGAGGGTGAGAGAAACGACTGCCCACACTCCCAAGCACAGACTTAATTGGTAGACCTGTTCCTCATTAAATGAAATTCTGGCATAGTGAACATTGCTAGACTATCATACATCAGAGTGAAACAGAATATAAGCACATTCTCAGAAGTACAGACAGGATGACCAGGGATCTTTCAGCTCACCATCATTATCTGCATTTTGCTACAAAGTTCATTTCAGTTCACTACCGACCTCTTTTGCAAGCTGGTTCTTTCTTTGCTTTTTCTTTTTTGTTCAAATGGGAAAAGTGTGGCTTCTTTGAAAATGCAGAAGTGCACACTTCCCTCTCCCAACATAAAACGACAATTTTTCACATTTAAACACTTTAAACTATTTTTTTATTAATGTGTGCATTTTTAAAGATGCTGATTTTTGAAGTGCATATTTTGCAAATGCAAATCTGGGAAATTCCAAAAATGTTCCCCATTCAAATCCACAGTTGCAAATGGGGCATTTGAAAGGGATTTGAGGCCTGAAATGAAATTCTCCTACATCAAACTCTGTATTTTCTTTAAAGGAAGAGAAAAAAATAGCAGAGATTAGAGGGTGGACCTTAAAAGGCTTGTGTTTATTAAAGTGTAGTGAAGTCTGATAAAATTATGAATAGTGTAAGATATGTAAATTGGGAGTAATTAAGAGCTTTCTAAGTGTTAATGGCTGATCAATGGCTGCTGCTGTCTGAGCGCAATCTATACAGGTCTACTTAGAAGTATCAGCACCAGACCTTAGGTACCACCACCAAACCTTCAAATTAGCCTATTTGGGGATAAAATCTGGAGGTTTATATTTGATGCGTAATGATCCTTTTCATGTTTTTGTAATGCCAACTGAACACATAGAGATGAGCAAATCAGCAGATTTCCTTTATTTCCACATTAGAAATAAATCATTCATTCTTTGTATCTCAGTTATGAAGAGCTTTCTGAGTTTTGGTACCTTTAATCCAGAATGAACAGATATTACATTCCCAGCAGTCAAATTCAACAGGTATTGTTATTCCAGAGATGGAAAAGACCCTGACAGAGACACACCCTGGCCCAAAGTTTCATAATTAGAGGGTCGAAATTTAGTTCAAGTTCCAGATTCCGTTTCAGAGAAGAACTTGGTGGTCACACTCCAGTAGGAGGTAGTTAAAGCAAAAAAGAGTATTCAGAGGATCATGGCATTTCTTGGATTTCCAGATGCCATATCAGAAATAGAGCTCCAACTTTGAATACTTGGAGACACTTTCTCCCTTACTGCCAGGGCAAACTAAACCACACCAGCTGCTTCTGCAAGGTCGGAAAAGTGACCTCAGAGAAGGGTCAAGTAGGCATCCCAGGGAGTGGGTAGGGGAATTGACTGGCACCACTAAGATGCAACATAGCCTGGTGGTGTCTTAACCTCCCCCTCCCCGCTCCAAAGTGCCATAGTTAGATAGCGGAAATCAGCTGTTGTACAGGGTAGGAGGTTTGCAGATACCCTTTATATCTCTCTCTTTCTGCTCTTCACAAACTACTAAAAAGTGCTCTTTTAAGTCCACTTGTGCCTCAAGTAACAGTTCTGGATTCAGGAGCACTCCCAATGCAGTGCCTCCTACTCCCAACTCAGCCAGCCTATCCAGGATACCATGATCGATAGTATCAAAAGCTGCTGAAGATCCAGGAAAGTCAATATGGTTGTACTTTCCCTGTCTTTCATCCCACAGGGCAACTAAGGTAGTTTCCATGCTAAAGCCAGGCCTAAAGCCTGACTGAAATTGATCTAGATAGTCCATTTCTTCTAAGACTTCCTAGAGCTATTCAGCTACCACTTTCTCAAGCACCTGTTCCAAGAAGCGGGTGTTGGCCACTGGACTGTAGTAGTTGACATCCTCTGGGTCCAGGGTTCAGGTTGGGCCTTTTCAGGAGTGGCTTAATGACATCCCCTTTTAAAGAGGCTGGAACCTCTCCTTCTCTCCAGGAGGCATTTACAGCCTGCTGGACCCCAATACAAACCCCTTGCTTAGGTCTGCATGACCGGCAAGGGTCAAGCACAAAGGTGGTGGGCTGGACTTGCCCACACCCCGGTCCTCAAATACTTTTAGAAATGTGCTTCTAAAGAGAAAATGCATCCATATCTGTACTTTGCACACCTATTTCAATGTGAATTTTCATACAAATCTTGTTTTATATGTAGTTGTAAGGTTGTAGAAAGTGGGGGAATGGCATAGACTTAGGAGATGACACATGTAAAAATGAAATGTACTAGAAATAGACTGATCTATACATGCAGCTGCTGAAAGCACAAAAAGCTTGCTAGGAAAAAAGTGGTCTTTTAAAAACCCCCAACATACTATATACTTTGAACCTACCAAGAGCGCCTTTTCAAAGGGAACTGCTTCACACCAGTGGAACATTCCTGTAGAGTCTAGTGGAGTTTCACTGGACTGTTCTTCCAAGACTTCTGGAAGTCTATGTGGACAAAATAATGGAAGAGGAGGAGGACAAAAACAACAATTATTATATTATTAGTAGCACTGGTAGTAGCTGTGTTGGGAAGTATCTATAATAGAAATATGGCTGCATCTGTGTACTTGAGAGACAATAGGAGTGCATTCAATTTTTAAGTGAACTGAACAGGAAATGGTGGCAGAGTTGAACAGGGGAGAATATATACTTATTTTAGTCACTAGTACTTATAGTTACTAATCAGAGGGCATTAAGTATGTGAGACTGTTCTAAAGACTTCTTGGAAAAGTTGATTTTTAAAGACTGATTTGGTGGAAATAACACAGATGGTCAAAAGAAGCATTCCAGCTAGCAGTTCAAAGACTGTAGGGTTGGAAGGGGATTGTATCTGGGAACAAGATATTGCTAGATGGCTGAGTGTTGGAGCTGAATACACAAAGGTCTCAGGTAGGATCTAAGAACAAAAAGGTAAGGCAGGAAGGCCACAAAGGATTTTGAAAGTAAAGTTGAGAATCTTTTTTTTTTTTTTATGATCCAGAAGTGGACAAGAAGCTAGTACAGGGGCTTAAGTAATGGTGCCACATAGTCAGGTCATTGAGTGAAGTGCATACATTTGGTATGGAGTGCTGGGGAGAATGAAGTGGATGAAAGAATGAAAGACCAGGAAGGAGAAAATTATACCAGGTATGCCTGGCCAGAGATGACTGGGTTGCAGACCAAAGCTTTTGCTGAGGGGGATAGGAAGGAAAGACTGTATTTTTGGTAATCCTGAGAAGGAACAACTTGGTGTCAGATGCCATATGGAATGGAAGCAAAGCATAGTTGGGAGTGAAAGGGAAAACTAAAGCTACTTTCCTGATCAATAGGGTAAAGACTGATCTTATGGAAAACAAGTGTGGCCTGACTAACATCAACTTATCTCCACAGTAAGACTTCTACAGAAAGCCAGATTCATTGATAAATTACAAGCGAGCACTCTCCTGGAGAAATGTTGCCTTGCATTTTTGTCCTCATTCCTTAGTCCTGAGAGCAGGTTTGGTGGCGGGACTAAGACTCAGACTTGAAAACAGTGTCTAGACTTACATTGGTAGATGTAGTGTACCAATGTTCATTTACCATAATGGGTGCTACAGCTATACCATTACACTTAAGTAATATGAAGACAGCTTATACTGAGTCAAATCGTTGGTCCATCTAGTTCTGTCCTTCTGTTCAGTCTAGTAGCTGATGTGCAGGGACAAAGAACTGGGCAACTGGGCATTGTCTTGGGTGCTGAGCTAAGTCACTTGGCCCAGTGTTTGTTGAATGCACTCTCTGCAACAAATTAGAATGAGGACAATAATACAAGCATGATGTATTCTCAGGGAGGGATGGGGGTTTGTTTTTGCCCACCGTATGTCCATTCATGTTCTGAATGCAAGCACAACCACAACAAATATTCACACATTGTTATCCTCAGGATTGTCTCATTCCTCATTCCCAGTTCAGTTTGCTCAAATGTCCTATTTAACACAACTTTCCTCTGTAAATTGACTCAACCCTGCTTCAGTTTATGGAAAAGAAAATGCACATATTTAGGGCAATTTCCATAAATCACCTATTTGGTCACTGCTAGATTTGCAGGGTTTTCCTATTCATCTCATTCCTATTCATGAGTGGTTATCACAAACATGAATGTGAATCAAGCATGGAAAAACCTTACCAGCCTGAAAGCGTCACTCATTTGTCCATCTCTATATGTTCCTAACTGTTATTTCATAATTTTACAGGCTGCATGGGTACTTATTACAAAAGGTGATTTCCATTATTCAAGTATTCTTTTCCCAGATTTCCAGTGTGAGTCTGTTTCTTCCCGCTTACTTTGCTAGTCTTTGGGAAAAAACTCAGTTGGGAGGCAACCAAGGAATTATTCAGCCTGGGTACTATTTATATCATGGCCAGACTCATGCAGATCTTTCTTGGCTGGCCCTGTTAACTGACAACATTTTGATGCTGAGGGGTTGAATGGGGAAAAACCCTCTTTGCTTAATCAATGAAGTTGCAAAGAAGGTGTTGCGCAAAACTTGAAAACATTCCCCACACAAACTCTACTTCAGAGGTCATGAACATGTAAGCCAGTGAACTGCGGAAGCAAGTGCCTCAGTGGTACATGCTCTTCGAGGAAAAAAAAACTTGGATGAAACAGGAAGTCATTTCCAATAAAATTTGGGGAGGGAGAAGTACAGCTTAGTGGGACGGCATCTGCTTTAAAAGTCCTCGTTTTAAAAGGATCAATGTAGTAGGAATCTTTAAAGACTTCTGCCTGATAGCCATTGCCAGTCAGAGTGGGAAATGGGGAGCTAGGTGTAGAGAGATGTGGTAGAAAGGAGAATCCGCTGTTCCTAAGGCTGCCCCCTGTCCTTGCTTACAGGAGAAGAGGCCTCATTTAATGTAATGGAGCTCAGTTCAAAATAAATCCGTATAGGGTAGAAACCACACATTCAATTTTTACAAGCTGGATATGCTATCTCCTTCCTATGCATAGGGCTAGGAATGTGCATAAAGGCATATATAGTATCTTACTGCCTTAAATAAGACACGATGTATGCCTTTATGCACAGAAGACTAGTTTGGCTGCACTGGTAAATCAGAAGGATTCTGACTACCAACTGTCTATGATTAGCAAGAACTGAAAACCTGCTTCTGCAAGCTATAGCAATCATGAGGATGCCAGAAAGAACTCTTAAAACCAAGAGGAGTTTTTGTGCAAAAGGACCTGTTATCACCTTTTCCTGGGCTCAAAATGCTCAAAAGCACCCCATTACTTAATTTTTGGTGCATAGTCTCCCACCTACGCCACTGCTTTGCACCTTGATAGACTTCAAATTTCCAGAAGAAACAAAATAGAGTCCCAACCCTGCCCTAAACTATTGTCAGTATTTGTAACTACACTTTCATCATGAAATCAGCATAGTTTATACACAACACAGAGAGCGCTGATTATTTTGAGAAGCCAGAAATTAATTGTGGTAGCTTCCTTGCCAAATACTCTCCTGAACAGCTGGTTTTAGAATGTGTGTTTGGGTTCAGGTTTATGCAGCAGGAAGCAAAACACAATGCAGGACTGTGTTCCTTGCCATGTCGTACATGCCTCTTTAAAACGGATTGCTAATATTAGCGGATAATATGGGAGGATAAATTAGCCAGAGTATCTCAGTACGCCTACGCCAGGAATAGACATTTCTGTCCATTAGTCATATGGCACCTCCCCAGCATCTGAAACCTCCTCCCTCCTGCCCACATGATGGATTGGTCAGCTGCTGATTAAATTGTGTTTTGGCAAGAGGGAAGCTATCTTGTTGCAAGCTCTTTTAACTCAGCCCAGCTCAGCAAATCAATCAGGGCACACTTTTCCATCATCATAAAACCATGATCTATGTACACAAGCTGTCACAGATGATATCTCCCTTCACTCAAACGGTAGAGGAAGCATCTATGCCCCGGAGGGAACACCTGTCAGAGCCCTGGGTAGGGAAATAAAAAGGCAAGACGGCTTGAAATACACTTCATCACAAAGGCATTTTTTCTCCAGATATCATTGTAAAAGCAAAAAGGGGAAAAGTGAACGTGGGGGATGCTCATCTATCTCTCAGTGCCTTAACTAATGTTCCCCATCTGCCACATTCGCCACAAATGATGGGAGCCATTCAGGAACCTACTTTTCTTGGCAGACCAGTGAATCACTCTAGTGAGCACAGCATCCACAGTGGGGATCTCCAGGAACAGGCAGTCGGGAGAACATGGATAAGCATATGTGTCAATATACATAGGTGTGTGGAGTCGGGGATCAACAGGTATATCCAAGGATACTTCACAACTTTGGCCATGCTTCTGCCTGGCAAAATAAAAACCATGAGCACTGGGCACCTTCTGACCCTCCAGATGTTTTGGCACCCAGCTCCCTCTAGCACTCACTATTGGCTATGCTGGCCAGGACAGATGAGACTGGTGTCCAAAACATCTGGAGGACCTCATATTAAAGGACAAGATCCTTCATGAAAACTAGCTTTGAAAGTGGGAATGCAGGTACCAACCTTCTATCAGTCAATGTCAGATTCTTTTGGGGAGGTAAGGAAGTGGGCAATGACATCTCCTCCTCCTCCACTATTCTTAGGGACAGGTGAACAAGAGGCTGCAGAGGCAAAATGAGCCAGTCCAGAGAGATTTTGTTGGTGGGATCCTGCCAAGGCATGACCCCTCAGGAGTTGTCCAGCCAGGCCTATCCTTGATGGCGACCCTCTCTTCTTTGGGTGTGATCCACACAGCTGCCTAATAGGAAAAGTTATTTATCCCAAGAAGTCTTCCTTGTTTGACCAGCCACATCTTTCTATTGATGTATCATTCTGTTTTAATATACCATTTTATTCTTTATGTTTTATCTTCAATAGCCCAGAATCTGTTAGATATAGAATGGTATATAAATTTTGAAAGTGAGGAAGCAAAGGACATGCCAGGTGGTCCACCATCTCATGTTATCACAGCTAATGAACAAGTGTACATATAGGGAGAGGGAGATGCAGCAGTTTGGCCAGGGGGTTCCGAACGTTGACATACGACCCTCCGCTTGGCTGTGGGCATCAGCATTTTCCCAGCAATGGCCCTCTGAGATCCACTTTACTCAGAGACCAAACTGTATCTTCACAGAAAATTGCATCATCTGCTCTCATTAAAGCCACTCTAAAGGGTGTCAGTTAAGAATGGCGGGTGGGGGGGGTGATGCAAGTCACTATTGCTAGCAGGGAGTTGTGGCATCAACCCTTGTTCAAACCGGGTACCAAAAGATAAATCAGATGTATGATATGGTAAAATGCACTCTTTAAAATAAAAACTAGTGGTAATGAAATGACTTTTATCCAACAAATATGACTTACTAATACTCATTTAACAATTTCATTCAAAAGCCTGAAATTCAATTTCATTCGAGGGGTACAAAGGATATTGGTACAAATATTGATATTTAGTAA